AAGGCGGTCTATTAATTCTTATTTCAATTTTCCGTCTGCGACGTCTCTAACATTTTCTCAGAAATTCTGCAGCAGATATTGATGAAACTTGGCAGGTTGATGAACAAGTCTTTTTTTTCCAGATATGAAAATCCTATGTGAGTCTTTTTCAATATTTTCATCTAAAATTACCTCTCCCTACTGCACTGACAGAGCAACTGAGCATGCTTAAAATAAATAATTAGCTTAAATTATAATGCTAGGGTTTTTAGTGATGTCATGACCTGGTCATGACCTTGATCTGAATCAGTGACAGATGGGTCGTACCATTACCAATCTCAGTGGAAACTTGAGGGGTGCCAAGGCTACATTTTGATGGGAATTATAGTGGTGATAATGAAACAAACCCAGCTCCTGGTAATATACAACGACCTGAATTAACAAAGAAGTCAAGTTGTTATTAAAGGTACATCAAGGTTAATGCAGTTTCTTGAGCATGTATGAGACATAGTTTGGTTGCACTTGTGTACTCTGAGATTTTGGACCTGGGTCAATGAAAGTTTTGGTTATCAGATTAAGGGAAATCACTTTATGATGAGTTGTACCCACATAGAGTACATATTAATTCAATTGTTTGCAGATGTTCCATGTATTATTTTAACATGAGTAATAACGGGGACGGTGACATTCGTGTCTTGTTACTCAAGCTTACTATGCGTATTTTGTTTGATGTATGCCTCTATATGGCGTACCTCTATTATTATGCTTTCAATCCCACCTACTCCAAGAATATGTTATCACATCCCAAATGCGTAGTGACTTTATTCTAAATCATGCACTTATTATTTCATATCGTGGTATAGCTAATACGTTCCGTCACATAATTTTATTATCAGGTCTCGAACTAGGGATAACTCTTGTTTCTATATTATTTCCAGCATCACGGCAACTTTAGCCAGTATTGGTGCTGCTGGTATACCGGAAGCTGGTCTGGTAACCATGGTGATCGTCCTGACTGCTGTAGATATACTAGCCGAAGGTGTCACCTTGATCGTAATTATTGATTGGTGGATGTAAGTAATTACTTCATATCGTAATATTCCAGGAAATGATTATCTGCAATAATATTTATTGGAATTTCGTTTACAATGGTTCAACTAAACTATGTTTAACATGTAACTGCAAGTTTTCAGTTCTCTGAAGAAGTAGCTTTTTTCTTTTTCCCATCACTCGTCTTTTTCGGTGGCACTTCTTTCTTCAGAGATCGTTTTGTCGCCCCAACTGTAAAAAAATATTAGGTACGGAGTAGTTACAAAGCATCGAACTGGTTATCACATGGATGAGAGCCAATATATATATATATAAGTATAATATGTCATACCTCTAACTCCACAATCTATACAGTCAGATCCAAGGGGACAATCCATCCAATCTGAATTTGGACCACCATCATCACATTCGCCATCATTATTGTAGTAACAATATGTGTCACAGACTGAATAATAAATTTGAATAATCATTATTAATAGTATATATATATATTTACATTATTCTAGTTTATTAATCATATCAATGTTACTCGGAAAGTGTTGAGACTAGAATAGACACCACATGCACTAAATATACTTACTTGCATCAGATCTAACTCCACAGTCTTTGCAGTCGCTACCATAATCACATACATTGACGATAGAGTTAGGGCCCCCGTCGTCACACATACCATCGGCATTCCATTTGCAAGCGTTATTGCATACTGTACAATACAACATTGTTGCAGATAAATTCAGGAAATTAAAGATTACAAACGATCGTTAACAAAAATATTTAAAAAAATATGTTGGTAAGCAATCCAATACTTACGTGGATGAGGTCTAATTCCACAATCTGAACAGTCTGAGCCATAGCTACATACATTGTACACGGACATAACTCCACCGTCGTCGCATTCACCATCATCAGACCAAGGACAACCGGAATAGCAATATTGGTCATCTAACCATTTAAAACATCATTTCATACTGTATTATATCATTTCAAAATGGCAGTACAATCACTCAATACATATTATAATATACCAACATTTTAATTGCCTGATAACTATTTTCTGATTGGTCGGGGCGTGTTTTAATTATGCAATCCGTGGTTAATTACATGATATACAACAGTTGTTTTGCGTTTAGAAGTAGGAACATGAATAACACACAGTAGGGTTGGATTTAAATCGGAATAAGAAAATATTATTTAGGTCGCGTAAGGAAGAATATTGCAACTTTGAGTTATTTTGGGTTCAAAGGACGAGTATAAGAAAAACTTTTCTTTATATATTTGAGTATTACATAATAGGAACAAACTGATCCAAATATTGTGGTATACTTGCCCCTGGGGTGTTTATAACGCATTGTGTTCTCCAACAAATCATATATTATACTCACATGGACAACTGTACATGATATTAACTATCTCAATATCAGCTTCGGTAAGGTAATCACGGTTACCCATTTTTGATTGATCATCCGCGTTAATTGCATCTATTGTGTTCAGACCATTGACACTGAATTCCTGAAAACACAAAACAATCATATCATACAGCTGATAGTTGCATCTTACAAATCATTAAGACGACATAACAAGAAATATATGCATCTATCCACTGCATTATTCTCGATAATCATAGGATATCTATGTAATGAATCCTGATATATGCCAACCCTGGAATATCCACGTAACTTATCATTGAATTTCCACCTAACAAACCCTGGAATATTCACGTTATGAACTCAAGTATGTCAATGCAACAAACCATTGAATAGCCACCCAATGAAATTCGAAAGAAAATTTATGAAACAGAAAATTGTTGTTACATTTTGATGGTAATGCATTATCGATCCTACGTCGTATGGCACGTTGTATGTTTCAGCTGTCGTGGTCCCAAATTTGTGGAAGTTGAGGATTGCATCAGGTATAATATTTTCCTCGTTTATTATAACATAATTATCTCTATCCGGACGGTTTTGCTCATGCCATAATCCTATTGCATGGCCAACTTCATGTACAATAATTCCTTTCTAGTTAGAGAAATACATAAGGAAAATAAAAACGTTACTGCTACCTTCTTGCCACACAAAAAATAATATCAGTCACGATTCTTCTATTTATGCAAAAATCTAATCTATTTGATCAAACAATCTGTTTATGCCAAAATCTGACCTGTTTGATCAATCACCTTGTCTGTTCATGCCTCAGTCTAACCTGTTTGATCAATCCCTGTGCCAAATTGTAACCTTTTTGATCAATCCATTTGTCTGTTTATCCCAAACTCAAACCTCTAACTCAGATCATTGTACTTGATTTTTCTGGTTATAAAGTCCCTGCGACTTTGGCATTTTATCCTAGGCCGGACATCATATCACAGGAGTGTCCTCATAAAGGACTTTATTCTATACTTTGAAATCCCAATCAAAATAGTGAACTGTGTCCATTTTCTTGCCAACACTGACCTCCCGGTGATTTACTATTTAAGACAATATTTAATAAGAACAATATTTAAAATGAAAGCTACTTTTTTTATTTTTGTTCTGACATACAGGTATACAGTTATATATATTTCCCTATAAAAATCTCCGAAAATGACTTCAGGAAAACATCATGAGCATTGATACATTAGTTTCATCTCAATGTCTTTGTGATTCTATTCTATCGTAAATGCTAAATTTTATTGGACATTGATACCATTCAAGACAATCATTACTCACACTTGCACAACCGGTTCCTATCGAAATATTTTGAGCTTCGTTACCAATACGTCCAACCATAGACCAGCATCTTTAAACGTAAAAGTATAATATGAAGAGTACAATAGCAGAAAATAAAGAAAACGACTGTCAAACAAATATTACAACATAATTGTGTTTACAATTAAACGATAAGAAGGTTCATGGCAAACACGTTGACCAATTCAGAATAGGATAACGAATTCATAGAAGTAGACAGGAAATAAGACACAGTCCAGCCAATCGTTGTATCAAATGGAAAACACTACACAATAAGACGATGTTATGGAAACGATTTTTCAAGGCACAAAACGACTCAAAAACGTCTTGTAATGTAAATAACATGCATTAACTCTACCCGACTCCTTTTATAAACTGTATTCTCGCTGTGTGTTCTGGGTTTGCTGGGTCATATTGCGGGAACTGAAGGCACGTGAGTCTCTCCCAGTAGGAAAGAGCATTTTGTATTTCAGTAATGTCATCTTGGCCTATAGTAATATAAAACAATATATTTTAATACAATACCATCATATTAACTTATAAACAATATAAAGAATATAATGTATTACAATAATATAATTATAGGATATTTCAATATAAACAAAAGATCATATTAAAATGGCGTAATTTTGGGATATTACAATATGAATAGCATAATTTTGCGATACTACAGTATAAATAATAGATCC